ATCGCATTCTAGATGTTAATTAGGGTAAAAAATTACCTCGCATGCTTTATATGTTGATATCTTTCAGTCATTCTAAGTATAAACACATTTTTATGGCAGGAGCAAAAAAGCTATAATAATGATTGTGTAAGCTTTTTATTTTAGGTATAAACATAATTTTGGAACATACAAAAAGTTAATTGGGGAATAGAAGAACAGCCAATACAGATGTTAAGATAATATGCAATGGCCAAATAAATTTAAGTTCATCATAATCTATTTTTGTGTGTGTACTAGGTATTGAACCCAGGGGTACTCTACCATTGAGCTGTGTCCCAGCCCTTTTTGTTTTAATTTTGAGGGTCTCACTAAATTGCCAAGGCTGACCTCAAACTTGTGATCTTCCTGTCTCAACCTACTCAGTAACTGGGATTGCAGGCATTCACCACCATGCCCAGCTCTCATAATCTTTCTGAGCCAATAATTTTTAAATTTAACAAAAGTCCAATATTAAAATTATATATATATATATATTTCTAATTTTGTAGAATTTTGTATTAGCCTTCACAAAAAATAAACAAAATAAACTTTAGGGACTGTATTTAATTTTTAATTAAAATTAACTTTTAATTTTAATTAATTTTTAATTTTTAATTATTTAATTTATAATAAGGCCATGACTGTCTCAAAAGAGTCTGGTGGCAAAAGATTGTAATTCCAGCTACTTGGGAAGCTGAGGCAGGAGGACTGTAAATTGGAGGCTAGTGGGGGCAACTTAGTGAGTCCCTGTCTCAAAGTAAAAAATAAAAAGGGCTGGGAATGTGGCTCGGTGGAGAGTATCCCTGGGTTCAATTCCCAGGAGAGGAGAGGAGGGAAGGGGTAAGGAGAAGAAGGGGAGATTAGGGATGAGAGGAAAGGAAAGACAGGACAGGAGAAGGGAGGGCTAGAGTGGGGAGGAAAGGAGGGAGAAACTCTTACTTGAAAATCCTTAATTGCTTTGAAGATCAAATAAAAGCTAAATATCAACTTTTCTACCTCAGAATTCCATAAGGAGGAAAATCTCCAAAATCACACACAATAGCCATGATAAATCATGTTCCTCCACTTCTCCTAATAAGAAATGTAATGACTATAAGTCATATGGGGTAATCATATGGGGTATTAGACACATTAGAGACAAGTGAGGTAGCCCAAGTTTGATTGTCATTAAGGAAACTTCAAAACAATAGACTTTACAGGAATTCTGTTAAAATAGTTATTGTTTTGAGCCTATTGTGTGTAAAAATATAAACAAAACTAGTTGAAAATGTTATACACTACCAACCATTTTAAGTAGTGGAAATTGAAGGACTCTTGAGATTTACTCAAGCTATGAATCCCAGCTACAAAGTTACAAAGTCCCTTCTGTAAATTATTGGAAAACATTTTATTTTATATATAAAACTGATTTATATTGCACAGGACTCTAAACAATTAGTGATATTATTGTGTACTGTATACTTTGACATGAAGAAACAACCATCCATATATATATATATATATATATATATTTTTTTTTTTTTTTTAATTAGACAGCACATCTGGTTATGGTGGCACACACCTATAATCTCAGCAATTTGGGAGGCTGAGGCATGAGGATTACAAGGTCAAAGCCAGCCTCAGCAACTTAGCAAGGCCCTAAGCAATTTAGCATGACCCTGTCTCGAAATAAAATATAAAAAGGGCTGGGGATGTGGCTCAATGGTTGAGCACCTGTGGGTTTAATACTTAGTACCAAAAAAACAAAAAGACATGAAAAAAAAATCAGATAGCAGAATGGATTAATGCCCTTGTTTTATTTGCTTACAGCATCATTTAGCTATTGCTATGTTAAAAACCAACCCAAGGGCTGGGGATGTGGCTCAAGCGGTAGCGCACTCGCCTGGCATGCGTGCGGCCCGGGTTTGATCCTCAGCACCACATACAAACAAAGATGTTATGTCTGCCAAAAACTAAATAAATAAATATTAAAAATAAGAAAAAAAAAAACCAACCCAAATCTTCATGGTTTAGGGGAGCAATTATTTCTTTGGCTCACAGTTCTGCAAGTTGGCAATTTATTGTGGACTCAGCTGGGATCCTCCATGTGTCTATGGACAATTGTGAGTCAGTGTCTATGGTCCACCATGGGTCAGCTAGGAAAATATATTTCTGGGGGTTCAATTTTTTTTGGTACCAGGGATTGAACCCAGGGCACTTAACCACTGAACCACATCCTCAGCCCCTTTAAAATATTTTATAAAGATAGAGTCTCTCTGTGTTGCTTAGGGCCTCACTAAATTGCTGAAACTGGACTCAGCTTTCTGAGCCTCTGGGATTACAGGTGTGTGCCACTGCACCTGAAGGGGGTTCAGTTTATATATACATGCAATTAATGGTAAGATGCAGGTGGAAATGCATACATGATTTTCATATCTTAAGAGCCTATTACAGGGGCTGGAGTTGTGGCTCAGTGGTAGAGCACTTACCTACCACCTGTGAGGCAATGGATTTGATCCTCAGTACCACATAAAAATAAATAAAATAAAAATCAAGGTATTGTGTCCATCTACAACTAAAAATATATTTTTTTTAAAAAAGAGTATATTATAGGGGCTGGGGTTATAACTTAGTAGTAGAGCACTTGCCTAGAACATATGAAGCCCTAGGTTTGATCCTTGGCACAGCATAAAAATAAATAAATAAAATACAGGTATTGTGTCCATCTACAACTTGAAAACAAAGTACATCATAGCTGAGCACACTCTCCTAAGCTTGTAATCTCAGCTACTCAGGAGGCTGAGGCAGGAGGATCACCAGTTCAAGGTCAGCCTCAGCAACTTAGCAAGGCCTTAAGCAACTTGGTAATATCCTGTCTCAAAAAATAAACAAAAAGACATGGGGATATGGTTCAGTGGTTAAGTGCACCCTGAGTTCAATCCCCAGTACCAAAAAGAAAAAGAAAAGTAAGTAAAAAATAATAAGAAAAAATAAAAAGGACTGGAAAAGTAATTAGTTAGTGGTAGAGCACTTGCCTTGCATGCTTGAGACCCAGAGGGAGAGAAAGAGAGAGAGAGAGAGAGAGAGAGAGAGAGAGAGAAGAGAAGAGAAGAGGAGAGGAGAGGAGAGGAGAGGAGAGGAGAGGAGAGGAGAGGAGAGGAGAGGAGAGAAAGAGAGAGAGAGAGAAAGAGAGAGAGAGAGAAAGAGAGAGAGAAAGAAAGAAAGAAAGAAAGAGGGAGGGAGAAAGGGAGGGAGGGAGGGAGGAAGGAAGGAAGGAAGGAAGGAAGGAACGTGGCAGAATGGGGCAACTATAGTCCCATCTTTCTGACAGAGGAATGAATATGGGAGCCCTAGAAATGAAAAGAAGTAATAGGGAGATGCAGACAAGGAAGGGTTCAGGAAAATGATCCCATAAAGTTGCTTTTTGAGCTCCTTAGAGAACTGTACATTAAAATTTGGTCAAACTTGAGTGACCTCGGCCCACTATGTGGTAGGAGGAGAGCAACCATGCTGTGGCCTCATCTACCAATGCGTGGGATGCCTCTGCTGGCTAGCTTCCATCTAGTGAGAACAGCCAGGACCTACAAGACCATCATTCATGTTCCTGCAGGCAAGGTATTGGTAACCTGCAGGGACAGTGCAAGATTATAAGGTAGAAACTGAAATACCTCAAATCCACACTGCTAGAGAGGAAGACACACAGACAACATGAAGATACAAGGGAAGAAAGTGCCCAAAACAAACCAAGCTGATACAATAATAGAATCCATTGACAGCTCAGTAGATAAAATGTCAGAGGAGTTCAGAATGTACATAATTAAAATGTGCAAACCAAAGAATGATTTAAGAGAGCAAATACAGGCAACAATTGACCGTTTCAACAAAGAAAAGGGAATACAGGTAGCAAAAGATTACTTTAAGAAAGAGATAGAGGGGCTGGGATTATGGCTCAGCAGTAGAGCGCTCGCCTAGCACGGGCAGGACCTGGGTTCGATTCTCAGCACCACATAAAAATAAAGGCATTGTGTTGTGTCCATCTACAAAAAATATTCATTCTCATTCTCTCTCTCTCTCTCTCTCTCTCTCTCTCTCTCTAAAAAAAAGAGATAGAGACTCTGAAGAGAAAACAACACAAATACTTGAAATGAAGGAAACAATAAACCAAATAAAAAATTCAATAGAAAGCATCAACAACAGACTAGATTACGTGGAAGACAGAACCTCAGGCAATGAAAACAAAATATATAATCTTGGAAATAAAGTTGACCACACAATAAAGATGGTGAGAAACCATGATCAGAACCTTCAAGAATTATGGGACAACATGAAAAGACCAAATCTAAGAATTATTGGGATAGAGGAAGGCACAGAGATACGAATGCACAATCTCTTTAATGAAATAATATCAGAAAATTTCCCAAACATGAAGAATGAATTGGAAAATCAAATACAAGAGGCTTACAGGACACCAAATGTACAAAATTACAACAGATCTACATCAAGTCACATTATAATGAAAATGCCTAGCATACAGAATAAGGATAGAATTTTAAAGGCCACAAGAGAAAAGTTTCAGATTACATTTAGGGGAAAACCAATTTGAATCGCAGCAGATTTCTCAACCCAGAACACAAACCTAGGAGATCCTGGAACAACATATACCAAGCTCTGAAAGAAAATGGTGCCAACCAAGAATCTAATATCCAGCAAAATTAAGCTTCAGCTTTGATGACAAAATAAAAAACCTTCCATGATAAACAAAAATTAAAAAGAATTTACAATGAAAAAGCCCGCACTATAGAATATTTTATGAGGAGGAAATGAAAACAGCAATGAAAATCAGCAATGGGAGGGACTACACTTAAAGAAAATCCAATCAAAGGAGAAACCAAATCAAGTTAAAAACCAAAAATAGACCGCGCCCGTTCCCACATCCCAGCCGGGGCCAGGCGCCGCTCTCACCCTCCGCCTTCCCTTCCCTCGCCACCCCTTCCCCCTTCACCATGAGCAACCTGAAGCCGGACGACTAGCACAGCACCGGCACCGGCACGGGCTCCGGCACAACCCAGGAGGAGGAGGTTCGGACATTGTTTGTCAGTGGCCTCCCCGTGGACATTAAACCCAGAGAACTCTACCTGCTCTTCCGGCCGTTCAAGGGATATGAAGGGTCCCTGATCAAGCTCACCTCGAGACAGCCTGTTGGTTTTGTCATCTTTGACAGCCGGGCAGGAGCAGAAGCCGCCAAGAATGCATTGAACGGTATTCGCTTTGATCCTGAGAACCCGCAAACCCTGAGGCTAGAGTTTGCCAAAGCCAACACCAAGATGGCCAAGAGCAAGTTAATGGCAACACCAAATCCCACCAGTGTTCACCCTGCCCTAGGAGCACATTTCATCGCCCGGGATCCCTATGACCTGATGGGGGCTGCTCTGATCCCTGCGTCCCCAGAGGCCTGGGCCCCTTATCCTCTGTACACCACAGAGCTGACCCCAGCCATCTCACATGCTGTGTTCACCTACCCAGCTGCCACTGCTGCTGCTGCTGCTGCTGCCCTCCATGCTCAGGTGCGCTGGTATCCCTCCTCTGACGGCACCCAGCAAGGATGGAAGTATCGCCAGTTCTGTTGATTCTTCAGTCTGGTCGCCAGGAAGTTGGTTCTGGGACTATGTGGTGGGGCCAGAATAGGGCCCTGAGCTTCCACCGCCCCCTGCGTGCGGCCTGTGCAGAGCTGCTGCTTCTCCGGAGACTGTGAATCTTAAGCCTGACTCAGTGAACTGCTTCCTGTTCCTTTCCCTCTTCCTCAGGCTTGTTCTACCCCAAACCCTTCTCCAAGGCCTCCCTGGAGGATTTGAGGGCCTTCTTGCTGGGACACCCAGACCCAGCTAGGAGGCCTCACTGTGACCCAGCAAGACCTGACCTGACCTCCCACTCAAACATGCTTCTTAAGCTCCCCCTCAAGAAAATGAGGCATTTAATTTTGCATGTTTTCTGGCATGAATTAAGACACTTAAACTTGTGTATATGTGAGTGTACAGTTTGTTCTCACACTGTCTCCATAGCAACAGGTCCTAGCTTATGGTGCCTGGTCCCTCTCTCCACACCCTGCCCCTACACCCACTGTGCTTCAGAGAGGCCTGAGCCCTGTGGCCACTTCTCCCCCGAGGACCCATGCACCACACACACTTCCAGGCTCAGCAACCACCACATGACATTTGCCTTGTCATTTCGAATCAGTCCTCTGCTTCCTTCTCAGATGGGCCAATAATTATAAGAAAGTCCTCTCCTCTGCCCATCTTGCTGACCTCTCCACAGGGCGCCCTGCCCCCACCACTGCTCCTTGTTCTTTCCAAACCTTAAAGTCAACCAAAACGTGAAAAGTATTTTTGTACCCTGTGTAACAAAATATTTATGCATCATAAAGGATTTTCATGTGTGTACCATTAATTATTAAAGAGACCTTGTTCGCCTTGTCAGATAAGTTTAATGTTTAGTTTGAGGCACGAAGAAGAAACGGGTTTCCATTCTTCAGCAGTGAGCCTTTGTGTCAGGCGTTGGTTTAAGAAAAATAAAGAAAAAAATGTGCAATTTTATTTTGTTTTGTGAGCATATCAGTGCTTTACCTTTAGTCACAGCTGTGACTGTCTTGCCATTTCAGATGTGGGAGACTAGGTGGCTGTTGTAATTGTTGATCCTGTGAGAATGTGAAACTGGATAATATATGAAATGTAAAATTAAAAAATCCAAAGTGAAAAAAAAAAAAAAAAAAACCAAAAATAAACCAAAATGACCAGGAATACAAACCAGGTCTCAATAATAACCCTGAATGTTAATGGCCTAAACTCATCACTTAGAAGATGTAGACTGGCATATTGGATTAAAAAAAGAGAGATCCAACAATATGCTGCCTTCAAGAGACTCATCTCACAGGAAAAGACACCCATAGACTTAAGGTGAAAGGATGGGAAAAAAACACATCACTAACATGGGCCACATAAACAAGCAGGGGTTTCCATCCTAATATCAGATAAAACGGACTTCAAACAAAAGTTAGTCAGAAGAGATAAAGAAGGACATTTCATACTGCTTAAGAGAATCATACATCAACAAGATATAACAATCATAAATACCTATGCCCAAACAATGGAGCATCTCCATAAATCTAACAAATCCTTCTCAATTTCAAGAAGCAAATAGATCACAACACAATAATACTGGGTGACTTTAACACACATCTGTCAACACTGGATATATCTTTCAAACAAAAACTGAACAAAGAAACTATAGAACTCAATAATACAACCAATGATTTAGACTTAACACACATATATAGAGTATTCATCCATCAACAAGTGAATACACTTTCTTTTCAGCAGCACATGGATCCTTCTCTAAAACAGATGATATATTATGCCACAAAGCAACTCTTAGTTGTTACCTTATATTCTATTAGATCATAATGGAATAAAACTAGAAATCAATGATAAAATAAAAAACAGAAGCCACTCCAACACCTGGAGACTAAATAATATAATATTAAATGAGCAATGAATAGCAGAAGACATCAGGAAGGAGATAAAAAGAATTCTTAGAGTTAAATGAGAACACTGATACAACATATCAAAATCTCTGGGACACTATGAGGCAGTGCTAAGAGGAAAGTTCATTGCATTGAGCTCATTCATTAAAAGAATAAAAGTTAACAAATGACCTAACATTACATCTCAAAGCCCTAGAAAAAGAAGTACAAATCAACACTAAAAGTAGTAGAAAATAGGAAATAATTAAAATCAGAGCTAAAATCAATGAAATTCAAACAAAAAAATTTCAAAAATTGACAAAATATAAAGTTGGTTCTTTGAAAAAAAATAAATAAAATTGATAAATCCTTAGCAATGCTAATGAAGAGAAGGAGAGAAAACTCAAATTACTAAAGTTCATGATGAAAAAGGAAATATCACGATGGATACTATTGAAATACAGAAGATAGTTAGAAACTATTTTGAAAATTTATACTCCAATAAAATAGAAAATATTGATGACACTGACAAATTTCTAGAAACATATGCTCTACCCAAACTGATTCAGTAGGAAATACACAATTTAAACAGATCAATTTCAAGCAAGGGCAAAGAACACATCATCAAAAGCCTAACAATCAAGAAAAGCCCAGGACCAGACAGATTCTCAGTCAAGTTATACAAGACCTTCAAAGAAGAACTAATAGCAATATTCCTCAAATTATTCCATGAAATAGAAAAGGAGAGAACCCTCAAAACTCATTTTATAACACTAGCATCACCCTGATACCAAAACCAGACAAAGACACATCAAGGAACAAAACCTCAGACCAATATCCCTGATGAATCCATTGAAATAGAAATTAGGAAAACTACCCCATCCAAAATAGCCTCAAAAATATAAAATACTTGGGAATCAATCTAAAAAAGAGGTGAAAGACCTTTACAATGAAAACTACAGGACACTAAGAGAAGGAAATTGAAGAAGACATTAGAAGATGGAAAGCTCTCCCATGCTCTTGGACAGGCAGAACTAATATTGTCAAAATGGCCATACTACCAAAACTGTTATACAAATTTAATGCACTTATTATTAAAATCCAAATAAAATTATTCATAATATTAGAAAAAGCAATCATGAAATTCCATTTGGAAAAATTAGAGACCCAGAATAGCCAAAGCAATCCTTAGCAAGAAAAGTGAAGCAGGAGGCATCACAATACCAGACATTAAACTATACTACAGAGCAATAGTAACAAAATGGCATGGTATTGGCACCAAAATAGACATATAGACCAATGGTACAGAATAGAAGACACAGAGACCAACCCACATAAATATAGTTATCTCATACTAGATAAAGGTGCCAAAAACATACATTGGAGAAGAGATGGCCTCTTCAACAAATGGTGCTGGGAAAACTGGAAATCCATATATAGCAAAATGAAATTAAAACTCTATCTCTAATTATGCACAAAATTCAACTCAGAGTAGATCAAGGACCTATAAATTAAACCAGAGACTCTGCACCTAATAGAAAAAAAAGTGGACCCAAATCTTCATCATATCAAATTAGGCCCCAACTTCCTTAACAAGACTCTTATAGCACAAGAATTAGAATCAAGAATCAATAAATGGGATGGATTCAAACTAAAAAATCTTCTTCTCAGAAAAGAAACAATCATTGAGGTGAAGAGAGAGCCCACAATATGGAAGCAAATTTTTACCACATGCACATCAGATAGAGCACTAATCTCTAGGATATATAAAGAACTTAATACCAAAAAAAAAAAAAAAAGATCCAATCAATAAATGGGCTAAGGAACTGAACAGACACTCCTCAGAAGAAGATATATAGGCAATCAACAAATATATAAAAAAGTGTTCAACATCTTTAGTAATTAGAGAAATGCAAATCAAAACTATTCTAAGATTTCATCTCACTCAGTCAAAATGGCAGTTATCAAGAATACAAGCAATAATAAGTGTTGAAGAGGACATGGGGGGAAAAAAACTACACTCATATATTGATATTGGGACTGCAGATTGGTGCAACCACTTTGGAAAGCAGTGTGGCAATCCTCAGAAAACTTGGAATTGAAGCACCATTTGACTCAGTTATCCCACTCTTTAGTCTATACCCTAAAGACTTAAAAGAGAATAAAATTATAGTATTTGCAGTTAAATGAATGGAGTTGGAGAATATTAAGCTAAGTGAAGTAAGCCAATCCTAAAAAACTAAAGGCCGAATGTTTTCTCTAATTAATGGATCCTGATCTATTATGGGAGGCAGGGCATGGGAATAATGGAGGAACTTTGGATTGGGCAAAGGGGAGAGTGGGAAGGGGGTTGTGAGGGTGGGAAAGAGGGGATGGTATGGACATCATTACCCTAGGTACATGTATGACTGCATGAATGGTGCATCTCTACCCCATGTACAACCAGAGAATTGAAATATTGCACTCCATTTGTGTATGACGAATTGAAATGCATTCTGCTGTATGTATAACTAAGTAGAACAAATAAAAATAATAATAATTTTAAAATGGTCAAATGCACTGTATGTTAAATTAAAAATAATGCAGTTTAAAGTTAAATTTAATCAAAAGAAAAATTTTATCATTAATAAAAATATTAACAAGGGCAACGATTTTAAAACTGCTTCTGAAAACATTCAGAAAGCATTTTCTTCAAGCAGTGCACAAAATTGACAGTGCAAAGAAATTAATGTTCCTGAATTGTGATTTTAATTGGTTTGATTTAATCATTCTATATTGTATACATATAGCAAAATATCACATTGTGTCTCAGAAATAAATACAATTATAATTTGTCAATTTAAAATATTAATAACATTTTTGCATCAGAAAACCTAATTTTTGGAAAGTTTTTTTGGTGTAATTTTGGACTTACTGTTGTATTGCAAAGAAATTTTCTAAGATGAGCATTATTTTGGCCTTGGTTTCAGGTAGATATTGACTTTAACACTTGACCATTTTAATGTTTTACTATATGTGTTTTCAGACATTTCTAGTCACCAATTAAATAAGAACAACAGAATCCATCTAACCTGCTGTAAATTTTTGATTCATCCAACAGGCATAGTTGTGGCTCTTCAATTTCAGCTGTCTGTTTTGTTTTTTTTTTAGTACCAGGGATTGAACTCAGGGTTGCTTAACTACTGAGCCATATCCCCATCCCTTTTTATTATTATTTTTTTATCGTGAGACAGAGTGTCACTCAGTTGCTTAGGCCCTCACTAAATTGCTGAGGCTGGCTTTGAACTTTGTGATCCTCCTGCCTCAACCTCCAGAGTCTCTGGAATTACAGGCACGTGTTACCATGCCCAGCTAAGCAGTATCTTAACTTATCTTATCACTTTGAAGTAAGAAGTGATGTTTTCACATGAGAAAGTTTTATTGCCATAAATTAGGAATGACAGCTATAAACAGGGGCTATGAACCAACATTTAAAAATCAGTCACCATTTGGGGTGAACAGTCCCCAACATATGTCAAGTTCAGTACTAACAACCTCAGTGAATGAGTAAATTCATTCATTCATATAGACATGCCTTTTACAAATAGTTTCTGTCTGGAGGCCAGTTTACTGAAAGGTCACCAATGTTCAAAGCTAAATTTTCCCTGACCTTTTGCGTGACTCATATTTTTTTTAGTTGTCAATGGACCTTTATTTTATTTAATTATATGCAGTGCTGAGGATCAAACCCAGTGCCTCACACTTGCTAGGCAAGTGCTCTGTCACTGAGCTACAATCCCAGTCCATGTGACTCATAGTTGATTACTGCTTCAATTTTTTTTCTTGCCTAAAATTGTTATGATGGTAGTCTTTAGTTTAGAATTTGGGGATCCAGTTCATCTCTGTACTAATAAGGCAGACCACAACTTGCTTCTCAAGAGTCACATTGAATGAGTAACCCCTTGGTCTGCCTCCA